CTGAGTGTCACCTGCGTGGTGTGAGGGATGGAAAGACGGCCTGAGTGTCACCTGCGTGGTGTGAGGGATGGAAGGACGGCCTGAGTGTCCCCTGCGTGGTGTGAGGGATGGAAGGACGGCCTGAGTGTCCCCTGCGTGGTGTGAGGGATGGAAGGAGGGCCTGAATGTTACCTGCTTACTCTGCCTGTCTTTTCCAGGTAATAGTGATGGCTTGCCGAGAGGTGGAGCATGGGAAGGTGAGTAAATATTGTATCATACATTTTTGTGCTTTTTTGATGGTTAGATTTTGGGTACTTCATGGTTGAAGCTGGGGTGTGCGATTATAATTGAGATCCGTGTTTAAAACTTGGTTTGCATTCGAGTTAGAGCCAGGGTTTGTGGGTAGGATTGTGTCTCCTGTTTAGGGTTTTGTCCTTAGAAACAAGGTTTGGTCTTTGTTCTGGGATTTAATGAATAATGAATCATCTTCTACTGTGTTCTAATTACTCTTCCATAGAAAAAGTGTGAGCGTTACTGGTCTCTGGACGAGGGGCCTGCACAGTTTGGGCCATTCTCCATCTGCACGGTAAGTGTCTCTTGTTTGCTCCATAGCTCTTGGTGAATAGAACAGTGAGGCGCTAACAGTCACTCATACAGTTGGGGTGGATTCTGTGTCTGCCTTCTCCAATTAGCTGAAAAAAAAATGAATACAGATTCAATGGCGCATTGATTTCATGTGACTTTGGCAGGATTTAATAACTATTCACTTGTTATTAAATCTTGACCATGTAAAATCTCTGACCCAATACTCTCCCAGCTCCATAATCAGATTCTCTGCTCTTTTAACAGGCAGAGACCATTCAAGTGAATGCAGAGGTTGTGTGCCGAAAACTCCATGTCACATTCCAAGACGTGAGTATAAGTTTACATGGTACAGGGACCGAGCTCCCCCATCCTTGTAGGAGGCCGGATACAGAGTTCCCCTATTTACCACTATAACGTCTTACGGCATTGAACTTAGCAGTGACTGACCGCCTGGCACCCTAACTGTGTGCCTCCGCCAATTACTGCTTCCTAGATGTTGCTGAGTACCATTAGCACTGTAGCCCCTAAGCCTCCACAGCTTGCCTGGGGTTTCGCCGTCCCTGGATCCAGCTCCTAGTGAGAAGACCTCTCCTCCAAGAGAGTATAGCAGTGTAGCTCTTACAAGAGCTAGTGATTATAGCAATCCAAAGACCAATCACAGGAGCAGGGATTATAGCTGGTATAGCGGTTCCCTACAAGCATGAGATGAGGCTCTGTGTTGAGGGTGAACTGTTTTTTTGGTAGCCACAACTGGCCTTCTATGCAGGTTCCCATGAAAGGCGTTTACTTTAACCTATTCCATGGGCATTCCCCACTGGACCTGAGAGTAGACCATGACAAAGTATTTACATTGGCTCTCAGGTCCAGGACACGCCCACAGAAAACAGGATAATCCCTCCCCTGTGCCATAATTGAGTCAAGCACTGTATTAACTCCATTATCTCCAGACACAGAAAACATAATTTTTTGCAAAACCCCACGAAAGTTACATCTCTGATAGCCCCGATCTGGGTGACCAACATATCCAAAAATTACCCAGATCAGAGCAGGGGTTCTGGAATTTCCTGGAAGTCATAATTTGACCAGAGAATCAGGGCTTGCTGTCGGTCTAGTTCAGTAGTCTAAAAACCAAACAAACTACCCATCAATGTTCTTACCCTGGAGCTTGTTCCCCTTGTTCGTGGGAACGTTTCCACTGAACAGTGCCCTTCTAAGTTGTGCAGAACCGAATGTAGGCAATCCTGGAAGTCCAGCCCTTGTTCGCGAGTTTCACTTTCAAACCGTTTGTGAAGGACTGCCAGGCACCCCAACCGGGTGCCTCCATTAGTTGATGCTCCTAGTGGTGACGAAGGACTCCAAGCACTCCACCAGACACCATCAGCACTGTAGCCCCTTAACCGCCGCAGCTTGGCTGGGGTCTCGCCGTCCTCCACCCACCCTGGACCTAAGACCTGGATCCAGCTTCCATCGGGTAGACCTCTCCTAGTCCAGAGAGCGTAGCAAAAACAGCTCTTGTAAGAGATAGTGATTATACTCAGGGGAGTATTGTGATGTAGCAATCCCCAGAGTGAATATAGTTCTCCAATTCCCGAACATAAACCAAGACTTTATGAAGGGGTAAAAAGAGTCTCACTTTAATGGGAGCCACACTGGCCTTATGACAATTCCCATGCAAGAGGTACGCCCACACGTACCTGATGGTAGACTGATTTACAAAGTCACAGGCCAATAACCGTAAGGTTACAAGGCATGACACTCTCACACGTAGCATACAATCCCTCCCCTCTGCCTGGGAGATAATTGAGTCAGATACTGTAATAACTCAATTATCTCCAGGCAGAAAAAACGCATTTTTATAAAACACACAAAATCCCCACAATTATTACATCCCCTGATAGCCCTGATCTAGGTGACCAACATATCCAAAAATCACCCAGATCAATTCAGGAATTCTATGGAAGTCACATTTTGACCAACCGCACGCATTGTCCCATGCCCAAAACAGTTCCAGAGAATCAGGGCTTGCCGTCGTTTTAGTTCGGTAGTTTGAAAACGAACAGTCAATAGTCTTACCCCGGAGCGTGTTCTCCTCATCTAGACTAATGATCCCACCGAACAGTGCCCTTCTAAGTTGTATAGAAACGTACGCAGGCGATGATGGAAGTCCAGTGGTGTTCGGTAGTTTCTGTATCCGATTTTTAGTTCCATGAGATTCATGCCCAAACACGATTGCCGCCACCTCGTGGTTGTTCGTAGGAATTGCGGCCACCCAGATGAACAATTAGAACACTGCGGTGAGAAACGTTCCAAGTTGTTAACTTTCCAAGTGTTAACAAGCTCCAGGGTGGTCTCTGGTTCATGCGGTTGTTCGAATGCCGCTTTGGGAGTTTAAAGTGTCACTGAGTAAGTAATGTCAGAAGTCCAAAAGGTACAAACAGTGGTTTTAACCAGGTTTTATCACAAGGGCCATAGTCACAGGGCAGGAGGCTGGCAAACAGGCTCCTCCAAAAACCAGTGGTAAGGTTACTTTCGCCACTGAACTCGATGACCAAACACCGCAGCCTGCGTTCGTGGGAACAAGATGGCCGCCACCTCGTGGTCATTCATGCGAACAGCGCCCACCCCGACGAACACTTAGAACATAGAAACATATAATGTGACGGCAGATAAGAACCATTCGGCCCATCTAGTCTGCCCAATTTTCTAAATATTTTCATTAGTCCCTGGCCTTATCTTATAGTTAGGATAGCCTTATGCCTATCCCACGCATGCTTAAACTCCTTTACTGTGTTAACCACTACCACTTCAACTGCCTGGAAGCCAATTCCATGCATCCACTACCCTCTCAGTAAAGTAATACTTCCTGATATTATTTTTAAACCGTTGTCCCTCTAATTTAAGACTGTCCTCTTGTTGTGGTAGTTTTTCTTCTTTTAAATATAGTCTCCTCCTTTACTGTGTTGATTCCCTTTATATATTTAAATGTTTCTATCATATCCCCCCTGTCTCGTCTTTCCTCCAAGCTATACATGTTAAGATCCTTTAACCTTTCCTGGTAAGTTTTATCCCGCAATCCACCAGTTTAGTAGCCCTTCTCTGAACCCTCTCTAAGGTATCAATATCCTTCTGAAGATACGGTCTCCAGTACTGTGTACAATACTCCAAGTGAGGTCTCACCAGTGTTCTGTACAATGGCATGAGCACTTCCCTCTTTCTACTGCTAATACCTCTCCCTATACAACCAAGCATTCTGCTAGCATTTCCTGCTGCTCTATTACATTGCCTGCCTACCTTTTTTAATTCTTTATTTTTATTCGTGCATGGATAAACAGTCGGGTCTGTCATGCCACAATAGCAATGCAAGACCGTATATCAACAAGTGGTAACATGGTATAATAAGTTCTGTGCACAATTTTTAAGTTAAAAAAAATAAAAGTAAAAGTGACATGCAAACAATGATAGACAAGGCATATGACAGTCGAGTGTTGTTTCAAGCTGGTGTGTCTAAGTTGTAGGCATTTTAACTGCTAAGGTAAAGGGATTTTCTCTTATGAATACGTTGAGATAGTTAATAACATGCTTTCATGGGAAGTTAAGAAAATAAGTGATGTGCAAGCTTAAATGAATCGGTTTCATAACTAATATGGCACACTAGCTTAGATAAGGATGTCTTGATCTGGGGTACCAGGTTACTATATTACAGGCTAGGAAAATATGCTAGTAAAATTATTATTAAATGCAAGTTGTAAATGGCTCTGTGAGGCTAAGTTATGTGGCAAATATAAGTAAGGCACCCCTACGGGAAACAAAACAGCTTGAAGAACATTAAAACAACGTGGCTCAATAGGAGCCTAGTGGGGGCTTCCTAACCAGGCTAGGTAAATCTGAGGACCTCTGGCTTTGAACTGGCCTCCGGCACAACATTTATCCGTGTGTGACTGGTTTAAGAGAGAGACCATCCAGACGAGCATGGTTGCCCCAGTGTGGGACTAAGGTGTTTTATGCTAGTCTGTAAGATACCAACTTTTGCTGAGTCCGTGTTTCTGATAGCATAGCATTGTTCAGTGTCCATAGTCCTTGGTGAGATGGTAACTGAGATACTTTATGTCTCCGTCTGCATGGGGTAAATATCCCTGCGTCTCAAACAGGGTCGCAGGCCGTGGGCCTCTGTGTGGATCAGTCCGTTTCTCTTCACCCGATGCCTTTTCTAGCGTGGCGGGACATGTGCCCCTTCGAGGTTCCCTCTCCTGTGGGCCGTGGAGGGACTGTCCGCCATTTTCGCCCACCAGCCAACAGCCTCGCTGCGTCCTGGTCAGCGCCACAGACGGCTTTGTGAGTATTCGCGTGCGGGGTTGCGCTTTTCTGGTTGAGGGTTGTTGGTATCGCAGAGTGGGAGGTTGGTTGGGTGCGCCTGCAGGCCCCGATCTGGAGGATGGGGTCGTGTGTGCTATCCGAGGACCCCGGCGCCGTTTCCCGCCATGATGAGCTTCGGCTTTGTTTCCGTCGTGGGGCCGCTAGGGAATTACAAGGAGGGTTCGCCTGCAGGTGGCGCCGGGCAGCCGGGCGGATCCATGCCATCACTTCTTTCATCGCTAGCTTGTGAGTCTGTCTTTGGGCTTTACACTTTGCCCAGAGGTAGGTGCTTAGCCAGCTAACAAACTCTAATGTGTGCTTGGGTGGCTTAGTAGGTGTTCGCTTGGTCATAGGCTGTGTCTGAGCCGCCATCTTGGCTAGGTCCTGTCTTTCCCGTTTGGCTGCATGTTTTGTCGCTTGTTCAGGGGGCGATGTGGGGGTAATCGTCCCCAGCGAGGACCGGGATGTCCCCCGCCGGTCCAGAGGGGGGGGTAGCAGGGCTGTAGTGGGCTCTCGTTTGTGAGCTTGACCCGTGCCGGGAGATCGTCCGCCTCTCCCGGGCTTCAGGCTTTTCTCTAATTTAGGCCGCATGGCCGGTAGAGGTTTTTCAGCAGTGTACTGGTGCCGGACAGGTACCGTTTTGTTTGGCATGGTGTTCTGTGTTTGTTCCTGGTCACCCTGTGCTGCTAACATGTTTCTGTTGCTCGGTTTTAGCGCACTTATGCCGGTTGTAGCAGGAGCTCTTAGGATGTGCGACTTGCCATCTTGGCTGTCAGGCCCCGCCCCCCGCCTGCCTACCTTTTTAAGTCAGTCCTCAAGTCCTCACGCTGTGGTGGAAAGTGTTACAAACGGTCAACTAGGTTTAACAAGCTCCTGGGTGGTCTCTGGTTCATGCACCTGTTCGGTTGCCAAACGAAATATAAAATCCCACGAACCAAGTCTGTTCACATAGTTTTGTACAGAGCTCCCTCTCCTTGTAGGAGGCCAGGTACAGAGCTCCCTCTCCTTGTAGGAGGCCAGGTACAGAGCTCCCTCTCCTTGTAGGAGGCCAGGTACAGAGCTCCCTCTCCTTGTAGGAGGCCAGGTACAGAGCTCCCTCTCCTTGTAGGAGGCCAGGTACAGAGCTCCCTCTCCTTGTAGGAGGCCAGGTACAGAGCTCCCTGGCAGAATGATCTAAAGAGGCGGGAAGTTATGTTGTTAATGAAACACAGAATTATCTTCTATCGAATGTAGGAGCTGCGGGAGCTCCAGCAGTTTCAGTACGTGGCATGGCCTGATCGTGGAATTCCAGACTCCTACACCTGTTTCCTGGAGATGATCCAACTGGTACGCCAGTATCAGGGAGAGACATGCGTGCCAATGTGTGTGCACTGCAGGTAAGTGATTGTGAGGTGGGTGAGTGCAAGAATCTCTATTCTATTTTGTAGTAATAGCTGGATAATAAGAATATTTTTAATTTCAAACTTCCATTTGTTTCAAGGCACAGAGTATGATGTAATTATTCTGTATGGCACAGAGTATGATGTAATTATTCTGTATGGCACGGAGCAGGATGTAATTATTCTGTATGGCACGGAGTATGATGTAATTATTCTGTATGGCACGGAGCTGGATGTAATTATTCTGTATGGCACGGAGCAGGATGTAATTATTCTGTATGGCACGGAGCAGGATGTAATTATTCTGTATGGCACGGAGTATGATGTAATTATTCTGTATGGCACGGAGTATGATGTAATTATTCTGTATGGCACGGAGTATGATGTAATTATTCTGTATGGCACGGAGTATGATGTAATTATTCTGTATGGCACGGAGCAGGATGTAATTATTCTGTATGGCACGGAGCAGGATGTAATTATTCTGTATGGCACGGAGCAGGATGTAATTATTCTGTATGGCACAGAGCAGGATGTAATTATTCTGTATGGCACGGAGTATGATGTAATTATTCTGTATGGCATGGAGTATGATGTAATTATTCTGTATGGCACAGAGTATGATGTAATTATTCTGTATGGCACGGAGTAGAATGGCTTTAAGTTGGATGCATGCCAGTAACATGTGCTTGCTCCCCTTCTTGCAGTGCAGGGTGTGGACGCACCGGGGTGATCTGTACAGTTGAATATATCCAGAGTCTTCTGCAACAACAGGTAGGTGAAGATTAAGTTCTGGTAAAGCATTTGGCGTTGCTTCATTACTGGAGGGAGGCTCTCCTGCTCATCTTTGCGTTCTGATCCATACTAACAAGTACTCTTCTGTATTTGGTCAGAACCCGAGGGACTTGCTCTGTTTGCCATGGTTGGCTACAAGATTTTCAGGTGAGAGGCAGTGATCTAACAGAGGGATAGAAAGAGACATATTACCAAACTATAGTGTCCGGGCTAGCGTAAAGCAGGAATTCGGAAATAGTAGGATTAGAATAAGAGAAGGCTACAGACAAGGAGAGGAGCACAGAGGAACGTAAACAGGCCTGGTTAAGTAGACAAGGGCAGGAGAGCAGAAGTGAAGTCAAGGCAAGCCGGGTCAAAATAACAGACTCAGTGAACATGTACAAAATAGAACGAAGTACTCGGGAACAAGAAAGGCCCAGAGCTGCACTTTAAATAGTGATTGAATAAGACGTAACTGTAGCCGGCCTACTGACCACTCGCCTGGTTGTCCTTGTTCAGTCACGTCTTGTTCCTGGAAGGGAATCAGTTATAGTACGGAGAGACCCATTTCCCACTCTGTTATAACGACAATGTCCCCTCCCAGGGGTCTTCAGTCCCTTTGTACCCTGTTCCCGCCACCCATCCTCAGGGTTTCCCACATCCGGTGGGTCTTCATCTCATGAGCCTCTGTACCTGGGAGTCCCAGCCACAGAAAGCCTGCCAACCTGCCATTGTCCCCAAGAGAGTGTCCCCACCAACTTCAGGTACGCCCAGAACGGTAACCGCCACAGGGTCCCTGGGTGCCTCCTTTCAGGACATGAATGCTCCCCCTGGCTGCCGCTCGTGTATGCGAACGGTGGCCGCCCACTTATTAATTCCCTTGCGGTTTCACACTTATGTTGTTGCCAACATTCTAATTGATTGGTGTGAACATTCCAAGGTGCAATGAGGAGGTCCTTGTTCAGGAACCAATCCATGAATGCTCACCCGAGATGGCATTTGTCTAACAAACGGGCCGCCACCCAGGCTTTCCTTGCGGTTTGTGGTTTTGACACCTCGTTACAAGGTGTGAACATTCTAAGACAACATTCTAAATGAGGTTGCTTGGTGGTCCCCATTCGGGAGGTGAACGGAACCCGTTTGCATTGAGCTCTCCCTAACTGGGAGCAGGTAAAACACAAGAATACAACACAATACAGGGGAAAACACAGAGAATATCTCCTAGCAATTCACAAACAGGCAACGGTCCTGCCACGGTAACCAGGAAACATTCTGGAATCCTCCCAGGAGAGCAAGTTTCATAGTCGCGCTGCATTGCATGAAACCTATTGTAAAACAGTTTTAGTGAGAGTGCATATACCTGCTGTGCAAGAGTCCAAGACCCTCTGGTTCCTATATCTTCCAGTGGAACTGTAGACTGGTTGAGTGTGCAGAGGCAGAAACTGTAAGGGTGGGGAAAGCTCCTTGCCATTATTGCCCTATGGCCAATGCTATCCTGCATCTTTGCACCGCCAAACTTATTGCTCTGTATAAACTCGGGCTCCCCGGGGGCATTTCCCTGTATAAGCTGTATTGGCTCACTGGCGGGGCCATTGCTCAGTATTGGCTTACCCTGTGTGTTTTTCAGAGGGTTCCAAGTGATTTCAGTATTTATTCTGTTGTGATGGAAATAAGACGTCAGAGGCCATCAGCCGTGCAGACTAAGGTAATAAAATTTCTGTAACTGCAACGTGTGTGTGTGTGTGTGTGTACCCCTCCGTTATGACCAGTGTACGTGGTTCGAGTCTCTCACTATAATTCTCTCACAGGAACAGTATGACTTTCTGTATCACGCCATCACTGAAATGTTTGAAAAGCGGCTGAACGTGAATCCGAATTATGAGAATCTGACCTCGGTGAGCTCCGCGAACAGAACTGTCACAATGGGCTCTGATAAAAGTGGCACTAATAAAGAAAAGGGTTAATTTAATTTTCTTATATTCCAGGGTGTCCCACTTAGGGTTAATGTGACAGTATACTGATAGAGAGCGGGGTGTCCCACTTAGGGTTAATGTGGCAGTATACTGATAGAGAGCGGGGTGTCCCACTTAGGGTTAATGTGGCAGTATACTGATAGAGAGCGGGGTGTCCCACACAGGGTTAATGTGACAGTATACTGATAGAGAGCGGGGTGTCCCACACAGGGTTAATGTTTCTCTATACTGATAGAGAGCAGGGTGTCCCACTTAGGGTTAATGTGACAGTATACTGATAGAGAGCGGGGTGTCCCACGTAGGGTTAATGTGACAGTATACTGATAGAGAGCAGGGTGTCCCACACAGGGTTAATGTGGCAGTATACTGATAGAGAGCGGGGTGTCCCACTTAGGGTTAATGTGACAGTATACTGATAGAGAGCGGGGTGTCCCACACAGGGTTAATGTTTCTCTATACTGATAGAGAGCGGAAAGTCCCACTTAGGGTTAATGTGACAGTATACTGATAGAGAGCGGGGTGTCCCACTTAGGGTTAATGTGACAGTATACTGATAGAGAGCGGGGTGTCCCACACAGGGTTAATGTGACAGTATACTGATAGAGAGCGGGGTGTCCCACACAGGGTTAATGTGACAGTATACTGATAGAGAGCGGGGTGTCCCACACAGGGTTAATGTGACAGTATACTGATAGAGAGCGGGGTGTCCCACGCAGGGTTATTATGACAATATACTGATAGGCAGCAGGGTGTCCCACTTAGGGTTAATGTGACAGTATACTGATAGAGAGCGGGGTGTCCCACACAGGGTTAATGTGACAGTATACTGATAGAGAGCGGGGTGTCCCACACAGGGTTAATGTGACAGTATACTGATAGAGAGCGGGGTGTCCCACACAGGGTTAATGTGGCAGTATACTGATAGAGAGCGGGGTGTCCCACTTAGGGTTAATGTGACAGTATACTGATAGGCAGCAGGGTGTCCCACTTAGGGTTAATGTGACAGTATACTGATAGAGAGCGGGGTGTCCCACTTAGGGTTAATGTGGCAGTATACTGATAGAGAGCAGGGTGTCCCACACAGGGTTAATGTGGCAGTATACTGATAGAGAGCGGGGTGTCCCATTTAGGGTTAATATGACAGTATACTGATAGAGAGCGGGGTGTCCCACACAGGGTTAATGTGACAGTATACTGATAGAGAGCAGGGTGTCCCACACAGGGTTAATGTGACAGTATACTGATAGAGAGCGGGGTGTCCCACTTAGGGTTAATGTGACAGTATACTGATAGAGAGCGGGGTGTCCCACACAGGGTTAATGTTTCTCTATACTGATAGAGAGC